AAGACATTTTTTAACCGCTGGATTTTGAGGGGTGGCACAGGCAGCAAAAGCAGAAGACTTGGGTGCTCGGAGTCTCCTAGCGAACCTCGGTGACGTCTTCTGGTGGAAGGTCAATGGAGGATTCCCCTACAGGCCGAACTTTTTAGGTGCATTGTTGGATAGTTTATCTAGAAACTTATACGAACATTATACGAACTATGCAGATGTGTATACATGTATGACGTATATCACATATATATATATATGTATCATATATATATATATATGTATAATATATACACATTATATATACACATACACGTACATAGAGACAGCCAGATCCATGTTTGCTAAAGGAATCCTTTGGACTACATCTTTGCTTCCAACAGTCAACATGTCAGAAAAGCCACGGGAAAGTCCTGGCTTTTTGGTCAGTAAACTCAGTAAACTTAGTTAAATCCCATGAAATCACCATTTTTCTTGGTTCAATCCCATTAAATCCATGGCATTCCCAAGGGAGGTCAGCTCCGAGGATGTCAAAGATTGCCGCAGCCACCTCGTGCAGGAGGCGGATGATCCAGTGGAGGGAGCGGTCTGCCAGTGATCTCTGACACATTATTTATTGGGAAATGCTGTGATTATATGTGATTATGATATAACTGATATAACCATGCTTTTCATTCATAATGGGATAATATTATGTATATATATATGTATATGTTATATATATATATACACATATGATCTTATATGTTATAATAACGTTATATGTGTTTTATATGTTAATGTTATCTTATTATTGAGAACATGATGATGAACCAGTGGATTTTGGGCTCATCCCAAGCCAAAAATTCCCATCCCGGTGAGGCTTGCTTTTCACTGCTTGAAGCAGTATCTTTGCGGCTTGGTCTCTGGAGGGGTCCGGGGCCAAGAAACGGGAAGAAACGGGAAGAAACGGGAAGAAACGGGAAGAAACGGGAAGAAACGGGAAGAAACGGGAAGAAACGGGAAGAAACGGGAAGAAACGGGAAGAAACGGGAAGAAACGGGCAATGGCAAAGACAGATGATCTGAGACCAGTGATTCGGGAATTTGGTGGATGTCATCCAGTCCCCAGTGGCTTATTTATCTAGGGTTAACATTGATGTTTTTTTTTCTGGTTCATATGTCATCCATTTGTTGGCATATCATAGGATGTCAACGACCTTAGGTGCTCGACTACAAACAGGCCCTTCCGGCATATCGCAACTGGTCAGCACTCCCCTCACAGATGGGTTTGCATGCACCATGACTCGGACGTGTATAAAGAATTATACACTTACAGGATCTTGTATGTGTATATACAGAGTGGGTTTGTCTGAAAATGGGGTACACATTTTTCCACAGGATTACCATTTGCCTGTTTTGAATGGCAATCTTGGGGTACCATTTTTGAAGAACACTAGATTTGTATTATATTTATTATACATATATATATATATACATATATATATATATATATACATATACATATATATATATATATACACATATACACATATATATATATATACACATATATAGAAGCTGTATATATATATATATGTATGTATACATACACAGTATATATATATACACTATATATATACACACTATATATATATACAATATATATATATATATATACACATATACACACATATATATATACATATAGAAGCTGTATATATATATATATACACATGGATACTGAAATGACAGCCTCCCAATCTACGAAGCCGGCGAGGTGAGATGCTGTCCCTGAACAGCTGCAAGAATGACAGTCTCCCAATCTTTGAAGGCGGGAGATATCCTGAATGGGTGATTTTCATGGGGAACATGATAAACGGTTTTCGTGCAATCAATTGCACATTTTCAGCTTACTTCTTGATGGGAGAATCCTGTATTTTCATCCCACATTTTTTGCGATTCAACCGCAGAAAAAGAACTGCAGATTTGAGCTGTTTGGCTAAGACTTCATTGGGTTGTTACCATCATTGCTGTCAAAGATGCAGGAGACTTACCATCATTGATGTCAGGTTACCACCATTGTTACCATCATTAAATCACCTGGTTGATCATTGAGATTTCCAGATGGATCAACCAGGTGCCACCTTTTCAGGGTTTGCCAGGTATCCTCAACATCCTTGGAGGATCTGGCAACTCAAAGGTCTGGTGGCTCAAGGGAGACTGGGCAGATCGGAGTGTTTTCCATGAAAAGTCACATGTAACTTGCAAACATGGCTTTGAGCGATGATTTTTATATCGAAAATGGAGATTTTGGGCCCTTGTAGTGCTTTCTATTTGCACTATCCTCTCTCCCTCTCTCTCTCTCTCTCTCTCCCTCCCTCCCTCTCTCTCTCTCTTGCTTCGTCGGGAAATTCTAGTAACCCGGCCGCACTGAGGATCCGCAGTATCCCAAGGCTGGGAGTTTCTCAAAAGTGACCTAGTGTTAAAAGTCTATCATTTGCATTTTGCGAAGTTCATGCCATGGCTGCCATGGTCAAAACTTGGAGATGTATACCCAGTCCTTGAGTGATCATCAATCCATTGGGCCTCAAAGATAGCCAGCCCTGATTCCCATGAAATGGGATGACCAGCTCCATCGGAGGAAGAGGTGAAGTGGCTCGTTGCTACCGCCTGGTGGGGAGCCGCAGACTGGCTACATGGTGATTGTCAAGTTCGCAAGCTGTGAAATTCCTCGAGAGTACTGGGGGTTTTTGACCCATAGGGTGATGTTTTGTTTTCAATTCTACTATGTACTATGTACCGGCTGGAAGGCTGAATGACACTGGCACCCGCCGAACCAACTGGTAGAACCAGTCGCAAGGGGCATGTGAAGTTGCTGAATGGTTTCGCGAGCATTGGCAGGAACACTGGTGCGCAATTCTTCCGTATGCAGCAGTACAAGTTAGCGGCTCAGAGCCTTGTGTACTGCCAGACGGCCCTTTCTTGATACGCTACTTCTCGGTGGTGCTGGTGCGCCCCCATGACTGAAAACTGCTTCGACTAGCGTGGGTTTGTCTGAAAATTATGGGAACACATTTCCATCCACTGGTTTATCATTATTTTTCCTTATGAGGTAGCCGAAAATCGAGGGGTATACTATACTAGATTTCCAGACACATAACATCATTTTGTTGGTTGTACAAATGTTAATATTCCATTACGTCCCAGTATTTCCCCAGTCATATCCCCATTAGAATCACATTGAACCCCCATTTCCAGAGACACCCAGATATCATGTTCTTGGTTGGATATCCCATGGAATCGATATCCGAGACTACTACATCCCATGAAAACGCCATAGATTGTGGTTGTCCCCTATTCTCAGACGCATGCAACTATCAATAACTATCACATCAAGCAAACATTTATATTATGATTGTCCAACAAAGCCCCCATTAAATGCCCATTAAAACTCATGAAATCATATGAAATCCCATTAAGTTGATGGCTGAGCCCCCAAAAAACACATCAAATTGCGATTTTCCATGATATCCCATGAACATCACATCTCCATGAGGTGGGCTGAGAGGTGGATGAGCAAGGCACTTGCCTTGGCAAAGTTCTGCCCAGGCAAAAGTGGGGCTGGTGACATCCATATTTTTCAATGGTGAAGCCAGTGAAACCCCTAGTTTTTGCTGGATAAATCCACATATTTCATCATATGTCATGATGAAATCGCGAATTCTCTAGCTTTAGCATGTTTAACTGCCTCACTTAATCTCATTTTTTGGGGGGTGACTCTTTCCATTTTTGGTGATACCTGCACTTTGTGGGTAAGAAGACTGTTCCTCATTTGGGGAGATCTCCAGGAATTGACAGAAAACATGGAGACGGGACGCTTTGAAACCGACTTTGAAGGTTCCTTTCCTCCAGAGAAGATGACTGAAGGCTATGCAGCCTGCCTGAAACATTGCGCCTGAGTGTTCCGCGAGCTGCAGATGTTATTGGATACGTCAGTACAGATTGGTCGTCGGCAAAGTCTTCCAAGGGTTTTGGAAGGTGAAGCTGTAGGGGGTTGCCTTCAACCTGATACCTGCTAATGTTTCCTGATAATGCTGGTTTCTGATGCTCTTCTTATTCAAAAGCCAGGGTTACTTGTGGTGACACTAAGTGGCTTTGCTTGCAAATAGGGTACCCTAGATCCACTGGTTTATCATTATTTTCCCAACTAAAGTGGCCGTTTGGTGGGTACCATGTCTTCCGACTAACCGGAAAGTGCAGTGTATCGGTTGGAGAAGAGGGCCGTGGGAGCTGGCCGAAAGTAGGACAACCTGCTTGATCTTCTCCAAGAGAGAGGGAACGAATTCTGCTTGCATGCTGAGTCGCTGGGCCAAGTGCTCAGCTTTGCCGACTTTCAGCGCAGGGTGAAGAAAACCTGGCATTGGGGCCCTGTTTTGGACATGTTTTTGATCCAACCTTCTATCTGGCAATAATCGGAGATGTCTGATATGTCCCTCTTTTTTTCTCCCTTACTTTATTTGAAATATATTTGGATTCAGAGATGGGTACCCTTTGTTCTTGACTAATGGGCAGGACTGGTCTGGTAATCATTGGGCATGGGTGAGAACTAGGTGCCCCAGCAAAAGTCGATTTCAACTTGTCAACATCATGGTTTTAAATCTTCACCCCACAATTGAATGGGTTACAGGTCACGGTTAATCAATCCATATACATCCCAACAAACGCTGTCGTTTGTAATGGCCATAAGGCTTCATTGCTTCACTGCATCCGGGGCATTGGGGTGCCACAGCTGTATGAGTCATGAAGGGTCGTTGCTGGAGGCTTTGAGGCTCTCAGAGCAAACTTCCCTGCTATGCAAGTTGGGTCATCATGGCCTAGTTCTTCGCCTTTTAGCCAGTTTTTAAAAGGATAGTTCTGGATAGTTAACAACCAGATATCAAACTCAGTACGAACTTTCTAAATTGACTATGCTAACAATCTTGCTAAATTTAACTTCATCAGTTAAGCTTAATTAAACTTCTTAATCTTCACCAAATTCAATGGATGATGAAGCAGCTGCGGTGGCAGATTGGGACCAAAAGTCCAAGAGAAGTGCCAACAACGAGACAGGGCCCCAGGGGTCATCATTGGTCCTTTTTGAGAAAACAACACCGAAATCCTTCTGAGAATTATCATTGATTATGATTGATTATGATTGATTTATCATCATGTTCTCCACCAAAAATATGGCATGTTCAAGTGGGACACCTTAAGTGAAAGTCATTTTCAGGCACGCCAATGTCTCGCAGCTGGGAACAAATGTCCAGCCACCACGATGGCAATATCCAGAATGGCAATATCATGATGGCTATGGATATAACATGATATAACATGATATAACCAATCTTGCTTCGATATGTGGGATAGAACCAATCATAAAAAGGCAATGTACCCACTTCCTGAAGTATCTGAAGTCGAACTGCATCCCCAAGTATGTTTGTGATTTGTCACGGCACGCAAAATGGGGGTGAACGGGGCTCCTGCCAAACATGGACATTTAATCCGCAAAATTAAGACAGGGGGACCTGCATGATCCACGGCTCTGATCTGGTTTAGGCCTAAACCTCGGTTTGGGGGCATGCCCCAAGTCACATAGCATACATGAAGCTGGTACTGTGAAAGGTGTATTAAGTTTTCTGTTCAGCATAAGGACAGAACATCCAGTGGCTAGTTTCTGAACAGGGGGTACGACTATATACTTTTCAAAAAAATGGCATGTCAGGAATCCAACCGCTTCAGTGTGTGCTTCACATCTATTCCCACATACTGGAGAACAACAATGCAACATACATGTTGAGGAAAAGAAGGACACCAAGCAACAAGAAACAGGGATGCTACATGGCAAAAAAACATCGTCCTTTTCTTTTTTGGGGCATTGGTCAAATAACGGGGCAACCAAGCTGCAGATTTTTGGTCATATCATATCTATTGTAGTTATCAACGTTTGACGACCCATCACCATTTGCGAAACTATATGGGGGGTTCTTAAAATGGGGGACTTGAACACCAAAAAAAGATGCTTTGTAATGTCAACCCCGGATTAATAAACCATGGTTTATTAATTAGGGTGGTACTCCTCCAATAGTCATAATCTGATACTTAAATGGTACCCTCCCAATTAAACAGCCTAGGGGTTTATTAATCCAGGGTTGACATTAATTGGAACCATTGAACCATTGGTTTGGGGGTCTCCCATTTGAAAGAAACCCACCATAGATTTTTCTGCAGCCGAAATCTGAGGCAAGATGTTGTGCAATGGATTGAGGCCATCGTTGGTAGCCCGGGTCCTATGGTGATGGCAGGAGCAACGCCTGGGAGAAGCCACTTCCGAATTCCAAACTCATCCGAAACCAAAACAGAAGTGGATCAAACCATTCATATCCATTCATTTGATTGATATCAAACATGATGTAAATGTAAACATGTGTAAACATGATGTAAACATGATGTAAACATGTCCTGTCTCAATTTGTTATGCTTTGTTCATCGGACACAGCCAAGCCGCCCGTCGCAGTGCTACCAAGGTGTCAAAGGCGACACCACGGTTGCAGAGTGGCTGAAATCAGGCGCGGCCGTTCGAGAACGTCACGGTGAGGTGCCAGGCTTTCCATGGCGGGACCTGAAGGCTTCATGGGAAAGGCCTGGTAAAGCCCTGGAAATCTGAGGCTTATTTGTTCAAATGACCTTTTTTTCAGAGACATGATCCTTCATTTTCAGAGACCCCAATTGCTAGTGATTTAGGATGGATCTGAAAGCAACCCTGCAAAAAGGGCTGGTCATTTTGGGTCCTTGACTCGTTGACTTGGCCTCAAACCTTTGCGGACTTGGTGCGATCTTCACGCGGATTTCAGTGGAAAACCTTTGATTTCAGATTCTTGGAACATTTTGGAGTCAGGTATCATTCTCTGCAACCTGGTCAACGCTATCCAACCGGGCCTCATCAGGAGCCTATCCAAATCGTCGCATCTGCGTCACAGTTGCAGAGTTTCACAACCCAACCTCCCCAGGACGGTGAATCAGCAAAATGTGCCCTTCAAACAGATGGACACTTGGCAGATCTTCACCGCTGGATGAAGCGGGACAGGAAACGTCTGGACTCTCATATAACATTCTATACTGTAGATATTGTAGATATATATGATTATATATGTATATATGAATATATATATATGAATATATATATATGACATACTAACATATCTTATCATATCTTATTATAGACATAATACACACACACACATACATGTTGGATGGGAAAGATCTATAGAGCCGTTTCCATGAAATCGACCTGGTGAACCTAGGAGAACATCACCAAATTTCTGAATGCTGCCGGGTCCCTGGGAACAAGCTGGTGGCAAAGATACCAAAGAACTGGTGGAGCTGCCCCAAAATATCGGAGCACCATTTATCCAATCGGGGATGTAAGTGGATGTAACTTCACTGAGCATTTTTTTTACAATCGAACCATCTCAAAAACATCAATCAAAAATCATCCGAAAACCATCCACCCAGCCTAGGCCCGAGATCTGGGCCTTCCCGAGAGCTCCATGTTCGACACGCCAGATTTGCAGCTCGCCGGTTTCGGGGCGGGCCAGGCTGGGGGATTGGCGCCTGGTTTCAAGATGAAAAAAGGTCACTACTCAACGACTCAGCACTGCTGAGGATGGTCAAGTGTATGATGCCTCCAGGAACTATGGCGGATGTGGGGGATTTGCACATTTTTGGGACCATTCATGCGTTGCGTTGCTGAGTCTGGTCAAGTATAGGAATGGTTGGCACTGAAGTACTGCACAGAGACGATGATGGACACGATTTTTTTCACAGAAGCTGCTGAACAAACAAAGGTTGCCGGCAAGGATACATCAGCCACCCTGAGGCTGTTCCGAAATGGTGTCCAAAAATAGCGCAGCTCATCACTCCAAAAAGGATTCATCAGAATTTCCCCATCACTTCAATGGTAAAATAGGTAAATACATTGGAACTCCATGGAATTCCCATCCTTTGAAACCCCAATGGGCAGGCCTCAGGATCCTCAGGTACCACATGGTACCACATGGTACCACGTTTCGCCTCAGGTATGAAGAGAAGAATGTGGACTCTGTGGAGCCCTGAGATCTGGATCCGGTGCCACGGTGCCATACGCGGAATCGCCGCGGAATCGCCGCGACTCTGAGGTGATCACCTGCATCTATGCCTGGGCCCAGATGCAGAGATTTCGATGACCCAACAAGCTGGTTTTCCATTGGTTTTCCTCACTTTAGGAGCCCAGGCTGGCTTTATGACCTCTGAAGTCTGTATTCACTGTATTCCAAGTTTCTGCGAAAAGGTGTGTTTTTTCTTTTTCGGGAGTGAGGTCCACATACACTCCAAAATTTGCTGTAAGGTAGAACCCGAAGGTTTGAAAGTTTTAATTTCGAATGAACAACCAGGCCTTGGGCGGTGCTGTCCAGACGGTGTGCCCGGAATTTACGGGCCCCACGCTCAGAATGAGTCGGATTGGGACTACAAAAGGGGCTTCAACTCAGTTTCGGGGGATCAAGACCTATTGGACCTAGATTCTATATGATTCCACTTCTACCATATTTAGAGGAGATGAACATTATTGTTATCATTCGCATTTATTTACTTGGTGTGATAACACAGTGTACCAGGTACCACAGTGTGCCTCGTCCTACAGAAACAGCTGCGAGGACCAAAGTTGGGCATCCCGCTGATAGCAAAGGGCAAGGAGCGATGTCAAAGATGCAGGGTACTCTTTTCTCAGCAGTGGAATCGCACCTCTGTTTCTTCTGAGATGATTATTCCTGGCTGATGATGTTAATTGCTAGTGAGGAAGGAGGACGTACCCCATTGGTGGGGAAAGACAGCTCAGAGATCTTACCAACCATAGCTACGAAGCGGTACTGACCACTTCCTAGCTTGGACCATGACTGCAGAATCGCTGGCTGGGTCTGAAGTTCTTGAAGTCTTTTTTGCATCTGCATCAGCGAAATCCTCACAGGATGTCACCAAGCCAAAGAGCAAGACATCCTCCCACTTGCTTCACTTGGACCCTGAGCAGGTGGAAATGGATAAGTTTTTTGCTTCACTTTATGGTCTAGTGATGAACTGGGCACATGGGAGATTCAAGCTCGTAATGTGTACCCTGTGTCACTGTGTAAAGCAGATTTTACATGATTTTACAGGTTTGGTCACGTTTTAAGGGAACATTTACAGGACCCTATTCTTTGTATATAGATTGTAAAAGCCCTGTAAAGCCATGGTTTCCAGTCGATTTTCCGTTCAATCTTTGGATATCTTTGGATATCTTTGGATGTTTGGTCAAGAAATCCATCGATTTCTGGTCCAACAGCTGTGAACCACAAAAAGAGGTGGCTTCGATGAGAGAAGAACTGGAAACTCTCCGGGAAGGCCATGCGAGGCCGCGCGCAAGCCAGCCACGCAATTTTGCGGCCCGGCCGGTCTTGGAAGAATCCCAACAAACATCCAACCGTTAACGGAATATCTATGAATATCTATGGCATAATGGTAGGATATCCTAGGAATATCATGGGTTCATCACCAATCATCTGTTTTGGTGTGTCTGAACATGGAGGATTTAACCCTGCGAGATGGCTGCAAACTTATGGGGTGAAGGTAGAAATGACGCAGATTCAAGGCTTAAACATCTTAAACCACTGGTATTTTAGCGACTGATCACCGAGGACAACTCACCTTTTGATCAACCCGTGGAACTAGATGATGGATAGCTGTGTGTTGGCTCCAAATACGCCCCCAAGTTCGGAAGGTTCGCTAAAAAGGTCATCAGCCACATGCCTTGCTGGAAAATCCAGCATTTGAAGTTCGATTGATTTTCCCAGTTAGAAACCTCCATCTATTTTCGGGATCCCATTGAACACATGACTAGAACCTGGGATGGCAGGCTCCAAGAGGAGAACGTGATCCTGAGGAAACGCAGCGAGGAGGGGCACCTCCGGGATGTTTTTTTTTTTTTTTATTTTCCATCGAAAAACCACGCGAATTCCCATGGATTTGGAGGTCGATATTCCTCACTGGGCCTCACAAGTGCGAGCCGTGGCCACGCAACTGGAGGAGCAACTGGAAGTCAAAAAAAATATTATATATATATATTATATATATATTATATATATATATTATAAATATAATATATAATATATATATAATATTATTATATTATATATATTATATATTATATATTATATATATATATGTGTATATATATATATACATGTATAATTATATATATACACGTATATATATATATATATACGTCATTAAATTTATGCTTAGCCCACCATTATCTGCCTTGAACTGTTTTCGGAACTTTTGCACTATGAAATGTGGTGATGATGATGATGATGGTGGTGGTGGTAAATGGTTTCTTGGACACCAGGAGGCGGCTGCACCCATTGCGACGGTGCCCTTGGGTGAGCGCCTCTTGGCCATGGTGAACAGTCTGCAAGATGCAGAGGTGCACCAAGGATGGCTGGGATTGATCCCCGATGTTCATGGCAATTTTCACCTTGAAATTTACGATAAACGGACAACGGATGTTGGAGGGTTTAACTGACCATAATATCATATAATATCCATAATTATAATGGGCCACAGTAGATAGGACTTACAAAACTTGTATTTGAATTGGAATTGGAACATTCAATTTAATTAGCTATGAAAGGGCATACTCTTATCCTTCAATTAGAATAACTCCCCGAGGCGGGAACCTAACATAAACGGGTGCATTACTAAACCAGGGCTCGAAGGGGCGTGTATGACGATTTTGCTTCCCAATCGGTTAAGAATATGAATAGATGGTCCCCCGGGCCTTCTGTATTTCTATAATCAACTGGGGCGACCTCTGGTCAGCCTTTAACAGTGGGATTGTAGCCCAAGCTACCCGGTCTTGGGATAGACCAGGGCTGGTTTTCGTTGCCAGAGGGATTAGAAAGTTTGGCAAAAACCAGTTGCCAGTTTGTTTCCACATTGAAACATCTCGAAATTCACAAAAAATCTGATGATTTCACATGGCTCTGTCTGAAAATGGATAATTTAAGATGATGAACCCCCCTCAAACGGCCACAAAAAAAGGTAGGGAAAATGATGACTCCAAGACGTCGGAGGCTGGATTGAGGGCACTTCGGGGAGCACCCTATCGCGAGGCGGCCGTGAATGATTGGATCATGGATCATTCACCATGGATCCAGTGGATATTCCCCCCCAAAAATGGTGGATTTATGCAGATTTCACTATCAAAACTGGATTTATGGGGATATATATATATATGTGTATAACTGGTTTAACCAACCATTATTATGACACTTTGATTTGATGGATGCCAACAAACATGCCAGATTGCACCAAGGTTCAACCATGGACCAGATTGAACTTGGAACCATGATTGTTGTTTCTATCACCATTTTGGGAACGTTATATTATATGGGTGTGTCTGAAAATAGGGTATATCCCTGATTATAGCCATTCAAAAGGGAACATGTTCATTAACCGTTGGGTTTAGGGGCACACAATTTTCAGACAAACCTATATATATATATATACACATACATATAATCATATGGTAATATCACATTTATTTTGGTTTCCCCCAAAAATCTGAAGGAATCGTGGTTTCGACTAGCGTATTTCCATTGTTTTTTTTTCATTTTGGGATGATCCCAAGCAGATGATGTGTCACATTGCCACTATTGCTGGGTGGTAATCAGACATGGCAATAATTTAAACATCCCAAAAATTGATGCGAATCGTCTGCAAACTTTCAAACATCCGGATTTTCGACATATCTGGCGATGATTTTGGCTCTCCATCCCAATGCTTTTCGCTGCCGAGGAACTGGACGAGCTGAAACGCGCCTTTGCCCAGCACTTGGAAGAAGGAGCCGTGGGTCACATGGCTGCCATGGCTTTGGTACTGATGGTTGATGGTTCGATGGAACCATCAGAACTGGGAACATTGTCCGGAAACAGATGGGAGATGGCAATGGGTGAATAGCAACTAGTCCCAACATATCCCAAAATTGGGTTCATCATGGTTCATCAATATCCCAATTTAAGCCGATATTAAGAAGGTGACCGGGGTTGGCACGTTCTGAAGTATGACCAGCATGGGCATTAACTAGGCCATGGGGATTTGTTTGATACCAACAATCATGGAGATATCAACTAGGGGGAATGCAATCAACGCAAAGCAACAATGAGGATTTATCATGATTTATCAATATTCAGAGAATTCACTGAGATGTTAGCCATCCGCACTGGAATGATGCCAATGTTGCAAAGAGTATTAGTATGACACCAACAAGAATGGGCGCCACTAATTCAACAGTCTGAAGCCAGCAACCAGAGAAAAGTAGCTCTCCAAATTCTATCAAATTCTGATGCGTTTGGATGAGGACAAGTGCGGGAGTCAGCATTGCCAGCGGCCAAGATTCGAGTGCTGTGGCGATTCTGCGGAATGGACTGTTTCAAAGCCCGGAACTAATTAACCTCGACTCATTCATTGCTCGGAATCGCACAAACGCAGGGATGTCTAAGGACCTTTCACCTCAAATCAAACACATGTGCCGGGCATTTGTATGTGACCCTATAATTACTGTTAGTTTTTCTCCCAATGGGGTACCCCCACCCCCCGTGGTTTATCATCATTGTTCCCGCACGAAGCTTGCTTGCCATTCCATCCTCCGTTTGGAGACAAACAGGGATACTGCAAATGTTGTGTTGGTCAATATGGCAATGTCCCAAATATAGCCTCTATGCATATATATATATATATACACACATTTAATATGCATAATGGATGTAAGTATAATATGTGTATATATATACATGTATATGTATACATAGGCACAGGCAATATATGATACAGCCGGTAGAACCTGTATATACATATGTATATATATATATACACATGTATATGTATATATGTATATATGTATATATGTATATATGTATATATGTATATATGTATATATGTATATATGCATATATGCATATATGCATATATGCATATATGTATATATGTATATATGTATATATGTATATATGTATATATGTATATATGTATATATGTATATATGTATATATGTATATATGTATATATAAATGTATATATTTATATAGATTCCCTCATACACAGCATGATCGTTGATTCATCGCTGTTTTTTGTTTGCTTAACATGAACCCCAACAAATTCACCATTCACCAGGCGGGAAGAGCTGGACAGGCTTCGGCAAATTTTACCTGAGTCGCCAAACTCAGTCTTGTGACAGCCCCGGGGCATGCAGGTAGTGGTCCCAAGTCACATCATTTCAATCGTTTTTTGGGTATATGCCAGAAGCTTTCCAGAGCTTTCTGTGCGGCAAAATGGGTGCTTTATCACGAAAAGTGCTGAACATTCGTGAGTTGACGTGTATTTTCATGGCCTAACATCTAGCATGCCCCTTGCGCAAAGTTTGTCCCGGGCCTATGCCTTTGCTAATGACTTTGGGAAAAACCAGAAGATGGGTTGGGTATGGCTCAAACTTGGAAGCACAAGAATCAACATCAAGCAACATGAAGCAACCCAAGAAATCGTTGCTGCTTGGTATAAACCAACGAAGCCCCATTTTGTTGGGCCAGTCATTTTGAGCCATCCCCGGCCAACGCTTTGTAAAAAACTCGAAGCGACCTGGTGCTGAGGCGGAACGGAAAAGGCAACATCCAGTTGGGCATGGTTATTGAATTTCAAAAACAGAACATGATAATTCAGTAATCTATTTTTAGACAAAAACACAGTTACATGGTGTGTTTTTCATGTTAAGCTTCACCGGAAACTGGAAACTTTGGAAGCCGGCCACTCCAAAAAGACGGCCCACACAATTCACAAGCATAGCAACGTGTTTCCTTGTCTTTCCTATCTTCGTGAAAAAGCATGTCGAACCGATTCTATATATATATAATATTATATAATATAATTAAATGGATCCGAATTCATGTCTAAATATTTCAAATGAGCTTTCTCGATATTAACTTTCTATGCATCGAAGGATTCTCCAATTGCATGTTTTTGATCTGAAGATATCTGGAGGTTTCCTAAAATGGGGGTACCCCTAAATCATCCACTTTCATAGGATTTTCTATGAAATAACCCAGCTATTGGGGATCCCCGATTATGGAAACACCCACCTGCAGGTGATCTCCAAAATCTGCAGCCAGTTGTGGTTTTTCCAAAACCGGTGCTCCCAGTGCCCCCGCCATGGCAGCGTGCCTCAATGCCTGGCTTCGATGTACCTCCCAGGGAGAGGAGGCAGTAGGACATGCATTGGGACGAATGGCTAAGGTGAGTTCCCGCAACCCTTGGAAGTGCCTCGGATGGAGGACTTTGACCGGAAAACTTGGGGAAAACATGGGGATTTTACGTGATTTCACTGATTTGACCTGGAAGAATGGTGGGTTTGGCGGGGAGGGGAATTTTAGTAGCAAGATCTGGGGGTTTTATCTGTAACAACAGAGAACCTGTGAGAAAAAATGCAACTTTTGCGACAGTAGTGGGAATGGGAGTTTCTTCGAATCAGGGACGAAACTGGAAAAAGAACATAGTTTTGTGTGATTTACCCAGGCCCAAAACAGTTTCATCCAAGTGGGTACCATCCTCCATGCTATTTTGCCCGCTGTGATCAAAACTGTGAAGGGACTAGATGACCAGATCTTCTCTTATTCTTAGCGTTAAACATGTTAAACCCATCCCAACTTTTTAAGTTATAGTCAAGTTCCAGACCCATACGCAATCATATCTTGGCGGTCCCCAGATGCCAATGATTTGCCGCATCTCTCGAGCGTTTTGAAAATTGTGCTGCTCAGCTTAGGTGTGTCCTATCCTGGCTGGTTGGTGAATATCTTGGATACCTTAATCCCCAATAAATTCAGTAGTACAATGTATTACAACCCCATGTCATACCCAATCAGCAATGTTTGGCACACTATGTTTCTTTGTTGCTCAGGTGTGTTTTGATCAGTCTGCTGGGCTGTCTCCTGTGTGGCCTTGGCGTCTTACGCTTCAATGCCGTGAGCGAGGCTCGAGAGTTGTGGGTAGATCAAGGCTCGCAGCAAATGAAGAATTTGGACTGGGTGGAGGCGGGGAAATGGCGGTAGGACATGGTGGGACATTGTAGGGGACAGATCGGGATAATATGGGAGAGAAAGCTTCTCAGAATTATATTAGAATGGGATGGAATGGGATAGATAAATGACAATACTTGTGCATGTGATGATAAAACATGATAGCACGTAGCAATATGAGTGGGATGTTTGAAGCCACAGCCACATCAACAGCGTTGCAGCATGGTGATTTTTTCGCTGCTAGCCGCAGGGATACTTCGCGGCTAGAGGTCGGATTTGTCGCTTGATCATCACTGCCAAGGATGGAGGAAATGTCCTTGAGCCCTGGTGTTCTCAGCGGGAAATTGACAAGTGGAATCTATCGGGGATATTGATGGATACTGTCCTTTGCGTCTACTGTCTACTGGGTATTTATATATAATATATATATAATATATAATTATATATATACTGTATATATAATACCCTGGGAGTCAAAAGACGATACTTAGTATAGTCGTTTCAGTAAAGACCATTCAAAGGTACCCTAGACTAAAGAATTGCATGCCGGGCTGGGGTGACCATAGGATGAGGTCATGTTGGATCCTGCACAAAACGCTTTTCCCGGCATGAGATGGTACAAAAAAGGCCACTTAGATTGGCCACGTCAGAACCCATGTTGATTCCTAGGGTTTTCCTGGCAATTTCTTGCCATAAGGCCATAATGTCACAACATGTCACAACCACTCACACACTCAGCGCCCTTTTCATGGTATCATTTGCGTCTCGCTGACTTGTTCAACCTTGGCAGCTTTGCATTAAAGTCAAAAAATGGTCTTATGAAGATTCCACAATATCTGAATCTTGGAACGTCACCAAAAGACTTGACATGGTTGCATCATGTTGCATCAATATTGCAACTTGGTGGCTGTCTCATCTTGAACTTTGAGGAGCTAAAAACTAGATCTTTGGGCTCTCCCTCCTTCTTCACCTTTGCTTTCTGTTTATTTTCACCAATCTGCTTCGCCAATTGCGCTTTGTATTCCTCCCTCTTTTATCTCGCTCCTTGCATCAAGCCCAGGGAGTGCATCAGCAGTGGGTGGTGTCAGTTTTGCAAGATGATGTTCGATAGAGGAATAAATGGTTGGCGTTTTTCTTCTTCAGGAGCTTCTGACGATCGCACCATCCCAACAGATTTTCATCAAACCATGTTTGCTGGCTGCAAAATTAGGAGCCCCAATGAAACTGCATCCAGCATGGCCAAGCCGCCAAGCCAAGCCAAGTGCGGCCGGTTGGGAAACCAACAATGGGTGAAACTGTGAAACACTATTCAACTTGTGGGAAATATCCAAATGCAGATCTCAAACCTACTTTACTTTTGAGATACTGTATATATATATATACACATATATATATAGCCCCTTGAAAATTCAAATTTTCTCGTTCAGTTCTGCTGCTATGATGAGCCGATGCACACCTCAGTTGATCAGGACCTTGCAGGCGTAAATGAATGGTTCCGTGATGGTAGGGGCAAAGTAAGGTCTCCCCCCAAAGACCATACTTAGTACGGTCTCTGACTTATAGGGTACATGTCCTTGTGCCCTTCATTCACAAAAGCCAAGGAGCTTGAAAAGATGCGAGAGGTCTTTCAAGTGGCTGATGATGTCAGGGCTTTAGTGGATGGGAATGGCAAGGTGTTCGCGGACTTTTGCGTCCTCTCACAGAACTTATGCTTCAACGCGGGCGTTTTGCGTTACATTGGAAACACCTCAGACTTCAACGAGACCATTGAAAGTACTGCTGACGTACTGAGTGCCATCAATGCTGAGAGGTATCCTGATGGCGCAGATGCATATCCATCTGATAGCCTAGGAGGCATCCAGAGGAATGCCAGTGGCAGCGTGACTGGCCGGTGGTTTCCTTGATATTTTCGTTTATATTCTCATCCTCATCACAGTTGTGCTGTACCAATGGAGATTACCATTTGAATCATTTTGGTACAGGGATGGGATGGGTGAACAAGACTTTTCCACCAAAAAAAAAGGATGGCTTCAGACACTAAAAACGGACCAGCCTTTTTTATCCTTTTTGTGGGGTTCATCGCTATCCCAATGGCTTGCCCCTAGCACATCATTTAACATTCTCATTTTTAATTTGTTCAACACTCAAACCCAGGGCAAACCGCTAGGTGATCAGCGCTGCAGCGCTTCGTGTTGACTTCATCCTTCGCTTAGACCATGCCGATGAGGAACTTAAGAACTGGGAACTCTCCGTCACGGAGCTCTTCACCGAAAATCAACTGAGCAAACAGAGCTATTCCAGGGTGAATGTCTTTGTGAATGCCAAGCGATCCCAGGACGGACAAAAAAACATGAACTGACGAACTGACTGATTGACGAACGACTGACAAACAAACTAACTGATGAACTGATTGACTGATTGATTGATTGATTGATTGATTGCTTGATTGACGAACTAACTGACAAAGAAATTAAGTGACTAACTGACTGCCAGATTGAAAGTAACTACAGTACGGGGTGAAGGATGGTGAAATGTTTTTTTTTGTTTTGGTGTCGATGTTGATTTTGATGGAGTTTGGATGGTGTTGATTTGATACATGATATTTTGTTCCCCTGGGTATAAGGTTGAACAGCCAGTTACAATACGTATGTTCGATCTATCCCCCACCCCGCGAGGATGATGAGCTGAGTCGAACCGTTCAGGCAGACATTCCCTTGTTCGCAGTGGCATTTGTCCTAATGGCCACTTTCTGTGCGATTTTCCTTGGGAAAGCCGCCAGTTGGACCCAAAGCCGAAGGTTGTTGGGTGCCGTGGAATTCTACCTGGTGCTCTTCGGATGTATCGCGGGCTACGGAACTGCCATGCTTCTGGGAGTCCCCTTCACAGTGCCCTAGCGATAGAATCGCAGCTTTCAGATTTTTAAGACCTTAGAGAGTATACAATGCAGATCAATGAAGTATGCCTTCATTCTATTTTAAACACATTTTTATAATTGGACATAAGACAAGATAAAGTAAGCCTCTCTAAGTGCGTTCTCGTTTTGCACCAAAAATGACACCCATTTTGGTGAGAATGGTGAGGTGCTGCAGCAAATCTTGCCCTTCATTTTGGTGGGCATCGGCATCGATGATGCCTTCGTGATTTCTGGGGCCTTCGATGCCACGGATCCATCGCTGGGCTTTCCGGAGCGGATGGAGAAAGCCATCCAACGCGTGGGCGTCTCCATTACCCTCACGAAGGTCACGTCCCTGGCGGCCTTTTTGCTGGGGGCAACTTGTGCCTTTCCTTCGGTGCAGTACTTTTGTTACTATGCCTCCACTTCTGTCTCTTGGAGCGTTGGAAAGGTGATTTCTGATGATTTCTGAAATGATTCTTTTCAAGCTTCCGTCTCACCGATTCGCTGCCATGATATGCGCATGGCGGCATGACATGGCATAGAATGGGCGCGGACACTTGAAATCCTATTCCAAAAAAGTCTTAGGCACCATCCCCCTGAAAAAACTAAGAACTCTCCCATCTCTTCCCTTCACCCAAAAGGACCTAATGGGACCCAAGGGGACCCAAGGGACCCAAGGTCTTCTTCATTTGGCTCTTGCACTTGACCACCTTCTGCGCCCTACTGACCCTGGATGCTCAACGACAACGTGCCAAGCGCTTGGATCCCTTCCTTTGCGTTGCCGGATCCAGGTGCCTCCCAGCGCTAAAGGATGAGGAAACTCAGAGGGAACCACTTGGTGAAGTCCTGGCAGCAATGATTCGTCTGCTGACAGGTGGGATGTTGTTTTCGCAAAACTCCGAAGTTCCAAGAGTTTTTTTTTCTTGGGGTCTGGGGGTTTCCTAAAATGGTGGTCCCATGTGGTACCCCAAAATGGAGGGTGTTTATAATGGAAAATCCGATTAAAGTGGATGATTTGGAGGTACCCCTATTTTTCGGAAACCCCGAGGTAGGAACTGATTTGAGTTATTTTTAGTTTATGTGTCAAATATTGTCAAATTGTGGTCCCCCTTTTTTGGTATGACCATGACTCGGGATTCACCAGGCAATGTCATCGGGATTGTGGTCACCATCCTGATCTTCCTGGCGGTGGCGTGCGTGTCGGTCTGGCAGGTGAGCTCGGGACTGTCGACAGACTTTAATATCATGGATCTGTCACCAGACCAGAGCTTTCTGCGAGATTTCTACAACATGGACCGGGGCTTGAAAGGTTGGTGTTTTGCGCTTACATAACCTCAGTGCTTGAGTGGTCCAAAAATGAGGCCCCCGCAAGCATGATTCCTAGTTGCCTGGGCTTTGGAGACCCTAAGTTTTCTCGCAATTGTTTCACCTCCATTCCATGGTGGCCTGTAGGTCTTTGCATGGAAAAAACCGTTTGACCCCCATGTGGTCCAAGCACCTCAAGCACCTGAAAATCAGGAGCAGGAGCACTTTGGAGGCTTGTCCACCGGAGGTTTGGCCTTACCCACGGCCTACTATGTGCAGGACGTGGATTTCAGCACGGTTGAGGTACAGCGATACCTTGAAGAGCTTGGTGCGGAGATAGTGGCTTTGGACGGAGTCAACCAGGAGACTCCTGTGGGCTGCAACCACTGGGTTCCGGCGCTACGAAATGTAGAACATCAAACAAGATGATCGAGAGATTGTTTGGAGTTTCTCCGGGTTTTCTGATGTTTTCTGCAAGTTGCTAAACATTATTCAGACATATTCAGACATATTATTCAGAAAAGCTCTGTTCAAAACATGTTCAAAACATGTTTTTTCCATCATCTCCCCATGAGAAAAAAACCCTCCAACACGTCAGGATCGCGGTCTCAAGAGTTGGCACAGCGTCTTCACCCTCTGGGCCAACGACCACCGTGGGACCAAGGCATCTCTCCCCACAGGTGCCTTCGTATCGATGGAGACCAACCGAACGGGATGCACAGCAGCATTGCCTGCGGGAGTCACCAGCTGTGTCAGCTTGGGAGATGCACAGTGATGTTTTCTTTTTGTGTATAAATTGTATAATCGGTTTTGCATAGTTAAATACTGTGTATCTCCACGGTAATTACTTGCTGCCTACTAAAATATCATTTCTTCAAAGTGCAACTCCAAGGCCAGTGCTTTCCTGACCGGAAGTACCTTTGCCACGGCGGTCAGGGAGTTTTTGACTAGCAGGATGGGAAGCCAATTTGAAGATGATGTGATTTTTGTAGAGAACCAGATCAAGGTGGCACGTTTGCGTGCCGTGCATATCGATACCGTGAACAGCAACCAACAGGTTGAACTGCTAGAAGAGACAGAAAGGTTGTCGGAGGCATGGCAAGGGAAATTGCCTGGGAGCTTTATGAGTGCACAGGCTGGGGATTGGACCGGGCGGTTTGACCGCTGTTCTTGCAGATGGCTTGGAACAAAGCCAAACGGTCGATTCTCCACCAACAGATTCTCCATTTTCATTTTCGGGGATAAGGGATGGTTTATACCGTCTACCACCCATTTATGATGATTCTGGGGATGGTTTATTATTGGGATTCTACAGATTCCCACATTGCCCAGTTTTTGAGAAGAATCGAACGCTGCAGGCTTACATCTTCTTTGACCAATACAGGATCATTGTGGCTCAGATGACCAGTAGCATTGGCCTGTGTCTGGGAGCCGTCTTGGTGATTAGTGCCCTTGTGCTTGCACATCCACTGTCCGTTTCTGGCTGGGAGTTTCATCTATTTGGCTTTCTATGTTTTTTAGCTGATTAAGATTGATTAGGCTGGACCAATCTTTAGGTGGCTACCTCAAGCCCCAAGACATCCCATATCATCTCAAGACTTCCAGACTTCCAGGTGCTGATTGTGATCATTGTGCTTGCTTTAGTCTTTATGGACCTGATTGGCAACATCATTTTGTGGGGCTTAGATTTGAACTCCATTTCCATGATCAACTTGGTGATGGCCGTTGGCCTGGTCATCGACTACTCCATGCACATGGCTCATAACTTCAGCCTTCAGAACAGCGCGCTGTCACGGAAGAAACGAGCAGAACTAGCTGTTCGCGAGATGGGTCAACCCATTTTCTTGGGGGTTTGCACCACATTTTTGGCCATCCTTCCTTTGGGCTTTTCCTCTTCGCAGGCATTCCGGGTTTTCTTCAAGATGTTCTTTGGCATTGTTCTCGCTGGAGGTGCGCATGGTCTGATTTTCCTGCCCGTGCTCTTATCCTTTATGGGCCCTACAATGAGCGTGGAAACAGACTCCGTCGAGGCGATTTCCAACGTGGAGGATGCTTCAAAGAAAAGTGCCAATGCTGAAAAAGAGGAGATAAAAACACAAGATGTATGAACGGTTATGATTATGATTGTAAAATATATTTGATGACTTCGGTCTCGCAGATATGTGCTCAAAGGCACACGTGTTGTGGGACAATTTTTGTCACCGGAGCTTGCATGTAAAACACATGTATTGTGATTCGGCTGAACAGCATTTTTGAGATTATCTGATTTCATCGCGGACAATGAATTTCTCATTGTCTGACTGAGTGGAATTGAGAGTGTGCATCCTCTATTTGGCCGGCAATTCCCGCTTGATGTCACGCCATAAGGAGGTCGTGGTATTTTGCAGGGCGAAGCAAACTCGGCTGCTTAAAAGCCGCTGCTGCTGCTGCGACTAAGCACAGAGATGTTGGATGTTGGCCATGGGCTCCAGCCATGCTGTTTTTTTTGGTACAGACCTAGGAATTTTGTCGATGAAATGGCGGGACCCCTTTGGAATCTATCTATCTATCTATCTATCTATCTATCTATCTATCTATCTATATATTATACATACAGTATCATACAGTGATCCCTACCCATTCAGACTCCTAAAAAGTCATAAAAAGTCTGGATATCTCTGGATACTGCGTGTGATCGATTTGTTCCTTGGTTTTCTTGTGGAGGGCCAGGAAACAGGTCGGAAGTCGGGCTCGCCACAAGCTGTGCTGAATTTGCAGGACTTGACTCACAGCAACTTTTCAGCATGAACGAACCACTCAGTTTGGCAGTCTGTATGTCCCCAGCTTGTGTCAAAGGTTTGCCTTGATAGGTGGAAAACATGTTTCAACATAGTCCTGTAGCCGCATACTTTTACCATCCTTGATATTTTGCGAACGATGCCGGATGCTGCCATGGATCCGGCTGCAGCCCTGACATGTGTTAATTCCACCGGTGTTGTTTGTGCACAGTCATTGCGCTGAAAGGCTGTATTGCAAACACTGGAGCCTTTTTCTTCGCAGAACATTCGAATTGCTGTGAACAAATGCATTTTCCATCATTTTTCCATCATTTTTCATCATGTTTCACCATTTTTCAGCTCCTCTTTTCGGCACGGATGATTTGGAGGTGGAAGTGGCAGTGAAGCGGGTGATGGAGCACGCTGAGCCTGGGCTGATTTTGATTTTGAGGAGTTTGTCCCACAGTTGGCTTCGGCTCGGCCAGTCGGCCACTCGGCCAATCCCCTAAGGACTTTGCCGGCAAGTTCAAGCATCCCATCAAGTTCAACGGCCACCATCTTAGGGCCGTGTGAGCCAATTGACATTGAGATTTGAGATTTGGGGCTTCAAATGATTCCCCGAAGTTGGTTTTGGGTTCATTCTCGAGTAACTACAAGGGACCAAGTTGGTGAAACCGATAGGGTGATGATTTGATGGCCGAGCCAGGTCTGGTACAGAAACGACTCCGAGAAATCACATTTCCGTTTGTTGTTCATAGATTCTATATCACCGGTGAACATTTACATGAACTTACTATAATTACGGATGAATTGACTTCCAGGTTTACATCATGAGGACCCTGTTGGTTCACCCAGCCTACCAGGCTTGCCAGGCTGTTGGCTCCTAGCTTCTTCGAACCTGGTCAATGACATGTTTTTTTTCAGGTCCCTAAACTATCCCAACAGTTGGGATAAAAATGAATAAAACCATGTTAAACCATGTTAAACCCATATTTTAAGTTTTTGTTTCATCCTTTTTCCACGAGGAGAAGCATCCCAAATCTCTACCCAGTCTCCCTGGGTCTCCCTTCCCTTTGGCGATGATCGCCGAGGCACTGACTTTGTGGAGCAACGCTTGACGTCCGAAGAGCAACTGGCCGAGGTGCCCGCACCAAAGGACCAGTCTGGACATGTTCCCCAAATAGATCTGGAAATCTTCGATGTTGTAACAAGACGAGGGTTTTTTGTCCAGGTTGACTATGGTTGACTGATGAATTCTACAGTAGTGTGTCCTCCTTTTTAGCTGTTAAAAACATAAAAACGATTCGTCTGTTTCACGGGTTTCACGGCAGCTGGGCATCACCCAAGGGCTGTATATCAATTGGGCAACAAAAAAGGGCAACTCTTGGGTCAGGTACCCTCTGGTAATGACTAACATAGCTATTGAAAATGGCCATTTATAGTGGATTTACCCATTAAAAATGGTGATTTTCCATAGCTATGTTAGTTTACCAGAGGGTAATTGTTGGTAAACACAAGATACCCTGATTGCTCATGGCCTTTATTGTGCTTTGACTTGAGCTAGTTTCCCACTTTTTGACTTGCTACTTTCCTGCAACTTCAATTCACATTTTGCGAAATTTTTGCTCTGCTAGGTGACCAAGAGTGCCCTGCGCCAGATGCATGTCTTCCTGGAGCGGTATGGCTCGATGCTGTCCTTTGAGGTGCACGTCTGGCCAATGGACTTCTCGCACGGCTGGGGGTCAAGTTGCCAGACTGGAGAATAAACATCCAGCATCATCCAGCATCATCCAGCATCATCCAGCATCATCCAGCATCATCCAGCACCAGGATTGAATGGTGATATTTATACCAGTAGTACCGCACAAGGCGGTGGCGGAAGTTTCAAAAATAGGAAACCTATGGGAGAAGTTGGTTGTTGTGAATCAGGGATGGCAGAGCGAAGCCACTGATTGACCGAAAGGTGGTTGGAGTTGTGTTTGCTGGAATGGTTGCAATGGTTGCAGTGGTTACCTCACCCACAACTGCTGGATGTAGTGTGATGTACTGCAACTGTAGTTGTAGTTGTAGCGTAGTGGAGTTGTAGTTGTGGTGTAATGTAATTAGTGTAGTGTAGTTGCAGTATGTTGCAGTCATATAGTTGTAGCTGTAGTTGTTTTGTAGTTGTAGTTGTAGTTGTTGTAGTTGTAGTTGTTGTGTGGTTGTAGTTGTTGTGTAGTGTAGTTGTAGTAGTAGTAGTAGTTGTTGTTGTAGTTGTTGTTGTTGTAGCTGTACTAGTTGTAGTTGTAGTTCTAGTTGTAGTTGTTGTGTAGTTGTAGTTGCAGTTGTAGTTGTAGCTGTAGTTGTAGTTGTTGTTGTTGCTGTTGTTGTTGCTGTTGTTGCTGTTGTTGTTGTAGCTGTTGTAGTTGTAGTTCTAGTTGTAGTTGTTGTGTAGTTGTAGTTGTAGTAGTAGTAGTAGTAGTAGTTGTTGTTGTTGTTGTGGTTGGTGTTGTTGTTGTTGTTGTTGCTGTTGCTGTTGCTGTTGCTGTTGTCGTCGAAGTTAGGGTAGTTAAGTTAGTGAAGTTAGTTAAGTTAGTCAAGTTAGTTAAGTTAATCAGTGTCTACTTTTTCGACATCTTCACGTCAAAAAAAGGCTCAAAACCCTCAGTTTTTTACACTTTTGACTTCGAAATGTGCTTCGCGCCACAACGGCGTGCACTTTTTCGACACTTTTTCGACAACTGAACCTCCAAAAGTGGTCCGAGACCGTCAGTTTTTAACACTTTTGACTTGGAAATGTGCTTCGCGCCACAACGGCGTGCACTTTTTCGACATCTCAACTTCCAAAAGTCGTCCGAGAATGGTGTGTTTTGTACATTTTGTTTTGGAAATGTGCTTCGCGCCACAACGGCGTGCACTTTTTCGACATCTCGACTTCCAAAAGTGGTCCGACACTGAGGTGTTTTGTACATTTTGTTTTGGAAATGTGCTTCGCGCCACAACGACGTGCACTTTTTCGACATCTCAACTGCCAAAAGTGGTCCGACCATGGTGCGTTTTGTGCATTTTCACTTTGAAATCTTCTTCGCGCCACAACGGCGTGCAACTTTTCATCTCTCATCTGGCCAGCTGGCTCCGCACCCGCCGCTTTAGCGAGCCTACTTTTCGACCCACCGGAGCCACAAATCATTGGAAAAACACAGTGTTTCGCGACTTTCAGTGTTTCACGACGTTCCTACCTTTTCGCGCACCTGCATCTTCTTTCTTCTGATCTTGTCTCTTCTGACTCTTCTCACCTCTGCTTTTCAACTGTCCATATTGTCGGAAGTTTCACTTCTAAACTTCCTTCGATAATGGTGATTTAACATGATTTCACCAACCATTTCATGATTTTCATGGGGATTTCATGGGATTTCATGGGATTTCAAGGGGACTTCATCTACTTATACCAGGGGTACCAGAGTTTTTGATCCAGCTCCAGGAGTTGAGAGCCTTGGCATCCTGCCCTGCAGCTGAAACCGCGGAGGCCACGAATGGGGCGAAGTTCTGCTGGAAGGAGATATGTAAATTGAGATAAGCATGAAATAGCCATGACATGTCCGTTAAATAGAACGATATAGGATGATATAGGATGATATAGGATGATATACTGTAGATATGAAGTAATGATAATTTATGAGACTCCCCGAAGAAACGAGACTAAAGTTGAGTTTGCAGAGAGGCTGTGCGCCCTGGCTCGAGCTTCCAGCTTTGCCAGCAACATGACATACTTGTAACATCACCAACGCGCGCGCGCGCTCACTTGTCAGAGCCAGTAGAGCATGACTTCACCTTAACATCCGGAATAAACTGTACTTCCTCAGCTTGCAAACCGAAGCGACCATTGGTTTTTGGCCATTGCAAAAACTGCCACAAAGGGTACCGCATGGTACCCCAAAGCTGGGAAGGTTCAGGACCGAAAAAAATGATTGAGCCAGACATGATCCAGATAGAAAAATGTCTCGGAAGCTTCACCACATAGGAGACAGGTGGAGGGTCCGCAGCATTTCCCCGCCATGAGCCCGAAAGATGGAGCAGCAGTCGCAGAACTCAGACTTCTGAGCAGGTGATGGGGCAGGGTCAATGCCTACTGTACGCGGGGCCCTCTACCCTGTTTGAAACATAGAAACCCAGAAAATGCCTGTTGAAAGATGTGATTTCCCTATACAAGTTGCTGTGCCTCAATCATATTTTCTGCATATTGGATGGTTTCCTTCTGAGAACGACTAAACATGTCCCATTTGAACATGTCAACCCTGGCATAGTATACCCTGGTTGGCTGATTGAGTAGGGCTGAATTAGCCCCAAAGATGAGGATTTGCCGCATTTTGCGACTATAAATATCTATACTATATATATATATATAAATAGCTATCAGATAGCCATTGCCATTCAAGTAAAGAACCCAGGGGTTGTAGGAAGAATTACGGGGATCATGAGTTCAGGCCTGGCCGTGCACGCTGCGACCTGGTCTTGTTGGGCTGGACGGGGGATGGTCGTTGGGCTGGGATGGTCACCACGATAAGACATGGGGTATGACATATGACATCATATGACCCATATCCATAATATCCATATTATATGCTGAAAATTGGGGAACGAGCCTTTGATATACTGACTATACTGACAAAAAATGCTG